CGAATAAAAATTAACGAAGGAATTGTAAAGTTTTATACAAGAAGGAAATTATTAATACATCTTTTCTAAATTCAACGTTTTCATTTCATTTTTAATATCAATTTGTTTCAACGAGACTCAACATACTTACTCGAACGCTAACATAGTCTCTGTTCAGCACTTTTCACTGTATCTCGTCATATAACTGATACGAAATGTGATACTTTTCAAAAATTTTGAAACACTCTTAAACAATTTATGAAAATGACAATTTCAGCAAACCGCAAATCTGTAATTCTATGGGACAAAACAAAATTTGTTAATTATCGAAATGTACCTTTTATTCATCGATTGCAGCTTTCATATTGATATGATAATCGGAAAAGTCTGTATCTTTCTAACATACCGGACATCGTTATACAGCATAGAAATTCAAACTCGTCAATATCTCATTGCAATCTATTAATTATAGAACGAAAAACCGAAGAATATTTTATTTTAAATCGATAAAAGAACGAATAAGATATTGATTAGGTAATATAAAAACTTTAATTCTCAACAATTCGTAATATAAATAATACAGATAAATAAAAAGATAAACAAAGATTGTGTAGATTTTAAATATCGATATGAGGTAGTATCGGATAATAAAAGAAAAAAAGGTTTCTCGTGATTAATTTTAATAATTTTCCTCGAATTTTGAAACTCTCTTTAAATGGTTTATGCTCGATTCTTTTATTTCTGTATTTACAGAATGTATGTACTGTTTAATATTCAAGAAATCGTCGATAGTCTATATAATCTGCACAAATTAACGCATAAAATTCCAAAACGGGTGATTATATCCGATACAGTAATTTATCTCGCATGGCACCAAGTCAAACAACAACTTCTTCGTTATCTATTTCAACGGTTAAAAGCAACAAAATTCAAGGAAAATCTATAAATCCTGTAGAAACAAAACTTCTCCTGTAAATAACGCGTGTAAGCTGTATATATATACAAATATTAGAAAAAAAAAAGAAGGTACAATATGATGCGCAACAGTGTAATATCTACATATCTACATCCCTCTGTAATAGTATTATATATAGTATTTACACGTGTAGAGATGTAGATGTATAGATATCACGAAAAAATTGTTGAAATAAGATTAAAAAAAAAAAAAAAAGAGTGAAACGATTTCAGGAAACTAACCTTTTCGCGGAGGCGCGTACAGTATTATTATTGCGCTCTCCGGATTCACGACAAAGCGCCAGCCCTTTGATAAGGGTGCTCGCGAATCTGACCCAAGTGCCTACGTTGTTTCGCAGCGGCTGCTGCACCTGTCCCCAACATACAAACGTGTATAATTCATCTGTATCCACATGCATTAATCATTTTCCAGTCTTCGGCAGCTCGCTTGACTGCCGCTATAAACAACAATAGCAAATTAAAATTATCCAGGAAAATTCACGATCGAAACGCAAACCGATAAATTCTTTCTTTGTGTTTCCAAAAGGCAGCAATGCCACGCGATTACAATACAGCGTATTCAAGTTTTCCCGTGTTCTTTCTTTATCGGTTTACGTTTGGTCGCGTGTTCATTTTTAGGCTTGAAACAGAAATTTTACAGAAGTTACAAATTTTTTTCCTTGAGAAAAAGGGTAACATAAAAGCTTCACACATGCGCGCGTGTATTATTGATTGATTGAATTATTAAGTCTATGCAAAAGTTTCCATCGTATTTTTTTTTTTGAAGAACATGCATTTATTTTTTGATTATGTGTATAATTATTTGGCGTACTAATAAGGTAATATTAATACTATATAAAATTGAAAATTAAGCATAATCGCTAATTTGCTAAATTAGCATTATTAGCAAAATAAAGGAAGAAGTATACAGTGCCTTTCAGTGCCACCGATTTACAAGCGGTGGAAATTTTTGCATAGACATAATATTTCGAATTTTCTTCCGAAAAATTTCAATGCTCGACATTGTGCAATTATGTCTGAAAAATTGAGGCACCTTTGTACGCGTAAAGATGATAAACCGTGTAAACATATTTGTCACTCGTACTTAAATATTGGTATCCTAATTAAAAGATATACACGCACGCATATAGACTTATTTAAAAATTATGTACATTGCATTCAATTAAATAACAGTTATTTCTTAAATATATAGTCAAATAATTCTTCGCAATTGTACTTCATTCCATCACCGACTCGTTCTATATATTATATGTATCAAACTTTCTCCCAGTTTATTGCAATACATCCCCTCTATACTGCAAATTTCAATTCTAATTTGTACATAAACGACAATTAAAGTATAGACGCGAGAGTAGGATGATCCGTTAAACCAAAGTAGATTTCGTTGTTGAAAAATATGGGTTAGAAATTTTGTCGACATGTTAAAAATATTTAGTATATTTGCTTTACGCATGTCTATTACAAATTGTTCACTTGAACAATAACCAATCGAGTATTAGACATGCGCATTACAAATTTTCCTTCTTGGCATTTCTTTTTTCTTAATATCTATCGAATACAGTATGTATTAACATCTAACAGAGATATACATAGTAAAATCATAAACAGGTATATTTATATGGCTTTTAAAAAGTGACAGTAGAATATTACATATTTACTATTGCTACGTGTAAACGAGTTTCGTGTGTCGAAATTCTTCAAATTGCGTGATTAAAAGCAATTGAATAAACACAGTACTACATAAACTGCGGTTTGTTCCTTTCTTAAACGATGAATATTCGCAATTGGTCGTTTCATTGAACTTGTCATTTCGCTACTCTAAATTTCACGATAATCCGTAACAATCAAGCTATGATAAAACTATTACGAAATCACACTAGCGTAATATACTAAAATTTACATAATTCTTCTCCTATATAATCCGCGTAATATCATTCGATACTTCCCTATATCGGAAGGTACTTAATTAAATATATCATTTCAACTCTTTCCAACATGGTGTTACTTTGCACAGCTATTCCCATTACTCAATGTATACTGGTTGTTAACAATTTCTTTTTTCTTTATAAATAGTAAATATTTACAGTGCAAGAAATTTCATAATACTCAACATTCTTTTCACGAGGTAGGACAAAATAACACTCCAAGGGGTATCCTCAGATTTCAAGGAAAAATAACAATTGCTGATTCGTTTTACGTTGTAAAATGTATAAAAATACTTAGAACGATAAGTATTTATATACATGCATATAAGTGTTCGCTCATAAACGCTTGGTCCCTAATATTGCTTTTATTGTTGCTCGCTTAAAGGTCCATGCAGAAACATATCTTCTTACGGTATGATTTGAGAAAATAAATTTGTACATACATGTATTTTATGTTAGAAAGAAGAGAGAGAGTAACTATAACTATTTGTTATTCAGGTAATTCCAGAATAGTCATTTCTTTTATCTAAGAGATTTTTAGGATACTAAATACAAAATATAATTATTGTTCGTTTCGTTCACTTTGCAAACCAGGATCACTATAATAACAGTTCATTTTAAGGAAGATAATTTAAGCGTCTCTCTGGAACATTTTTACTGCACTTTATATGCATTCACGAATTTGAGCAACTTTTCACAGGACTCGAAAAGTATTATTCTTTTTTTTTTTTTTTTCGAAAAAGCATCCTCTTGTTTTCTACATATTTTTACACTATTTTTTAAACAAATCTAAGACATGTAAAGAACGTTTTATGCTAATTACGAGAATGCAAATCTTGTTATACTGCCAAAATCAATGAAAGAATATTGAACTACAGAATTGAACATTATATACATGATTAATGTTAAAAGTTAAAACAACAGTTAACATTTAGTTTATTTTTTTAAATCGTTCAATTTTCCTATTTTTTATCTTTTCGAATCATTTACTAAAAATGAAAGTTTTACCAATGCAATATTTGTAAAATCATATGATTTACAAAAATAAACTAAAAAAGAATGTTTACAGTGGCATTCTTTGACATTGCAACAGAACATAGAGAAATCAGATTAAATCTACAGTTACTGCAATTTATTTTCACATAATTATTCCTATTAAAAAAAAAAAAACTTCTCATTTACGATTCATGTAATGCTCTATTTAAAATTATTCAATTACAATTATCATTAACGTTTACTCCCTTGGAAAGTGTATTCTGTATGCTGAAAGGATGTTTAGTAATCACGATAATAAAATAAGGTTGAAAACACTTTAAATAAAAAAGAAAAGAAAGTATTTGAGAATTACAATTGTAGTAATGACAACATAATAATGGCAATACTATAAAACTAATTCATCGAAATCTACGTAAATGCAATTTTTGTATCGGACCGTTTGAAATACTATCCAAAACTCAGCATTCAGTACTTCAGTAATGAGTATCGCAGTATGATTTCAGTGTTCGCAATTAGGTATGTCTCATTTACAAATATTCTATCTCGATTTCTCACCAGTGAAATATTCTATGTTCAATTTGTTTCGACAATTAAAACATCAGATGTGAAATCATTAAAACCACGACAATAACGTGAAAGTGATTGTTGTTGTTACAAATTGTATGAAATAGAAAATGTTTAATTTTTGAAATTTTTCAGAAACATGCACAAATTTTGTGAAATCTACTAGTTTTAAATAATTTTATTTTATTGCAAATACTGTATTAAAACCTTTTTGTTTAAGTTCAACCTAGAAAAGAAAGAAAATGAAATACAACTTTAAAAAAATGATGTATTAAACATTAAGGAAATTAATCATAATTTTTAAGTGCATTCAAATATAACTGGAAAATTTCTAATAATTTTAAGTATAAAAACTGCTTAAAAAAAAAAACAGTTATTATTTTTTAGATGATGCTTGAGTAGAATGGCTCACATAGCCCACTTAAGTAACAAAATTTTTCTACATGGGTAAAAGTACGAAATTTTATTTCTAGACATAGCTATAAATAATTTAAGTTATTATTAAATAATCTATCTATTCGTCAAAAACGTTTTAATTATGTACAGCCATTTTAGATACGTGTTCAATAAATTTTAGTTTTATTGAGAGAAAAAAAAAAACTAAAGAAAGAGAGATATGTGAGAAATCTGTATATAAATTGATATTATTGAAGTATTGCTACCAAAATACTTCAGTGATATCGTCAATAGTGGAGTTAATAATATCACATCCATATAAATTGGTGAATCGAAAAGCATTTAACTTGGCCAAAGACCGTAAAAGAAGATAAATATATAATTATTTGGATAACTCTTGTAATAATATATATTTCCAAATATGTACTATAAAGTTTTAATATCATTCGAAAAATACTATTGATATTTCCCTGAAGGTTTGATTTAATCTTATTACTAACGCAGTATCGAAAACGTGGACTACCCATTTTGTTTTCAATCGATTTCAGACTTAACAAATCTCAACAATCAACTTTACGCGTCGCTAGAGAAAAAAAACTGTTACCAAAATGCAAACTTGAGAAACTTTATATTTCGCATGTCAACGTAATATTTCATTTGATAACAAATTCATTTTTCTTAAAGTGTGGAAATATTCAATTATAATTGGCGAACTAACTACAGAAACGTATAAATAAAAGTGTAATCTGTTTCAAGAAACTATAGGTACATGTGTTGAAACTGTTTTTGAAATTCTAGCGATCGGGTGTATGTAACAATCCATCCTAATATTCCAATAGAAAGGTAGTAATAATTTAAATTACATTCAACAATCACTATTATTTATGCATAAAATACAATTTCTAAATTTAAACATGTCTATAATACGTTTTTTTTCCTCTATAAGAAAGTTATTTACAAGATATTTTTGTACGGTACTCGACACTTAACGTGTGACAAAACGTTGAGCGCAGCGTGTGATGCACCCAATTTGATTTTCTCATTTCTTAAATAATTAATTTTCAACTTTTTGCACACCAAATTTTTGTTCGGGCTCCAAACTGACAGACATCTTAAAAAAAAGTTTATACTCACAAAATTAACGACATTTTAATATGTAACATAATTTATGATTTCTGCTGAGGATAACAATACCTCTCTGCAGTACCGACTGCTTATGGGCAGTAAGAATTGGGGGCGGCTTGAGGCCCAAGCGTATGATCCAATATGGCGATAAGCAACATACGAGTGTATAAACGTGTTTTGTACACTCGTATTTTCTTTTATAAGGAACCTTAATAGACAGAGTGAGTCATCTAAGCCGAGCTATCTGAATAACTTTCAATTTTGGTCATAAGGAGAGATATTTGAAACAAAAGTTGTTTGGTTCCGAGGGAGCCATTACGTGATAATCAAAACTTTTTATCAAG